AGGACTGGTGGAAGAAAATCCTCCCCCGTCCGAAGCCCTCAAGCGAAATACCAAACTCAACGCACCAACTCCACCCGTCTGACAAAGCTTAACCAAATCATCCCCCACCACAACATCTGGTGACAAATCCCCACGGTCCCTCTTAGCACTTCCTCTACTCTCCACCTGTGGAGCGGCCCACCACCCGTCTTCCGACCCATGCCCTCCGAAACGTTTCAACAGGAGCAGTATCGGAGCACCGAGGTACTGGACCTGTACAGGCCGTCGGTCGACACTCCAAACACCCCTCCTGAACAAACTAAGCCACCGACCATGCGTCTAAGTGCGCCGTTCCGTACAGCATGTCACAAGCAGCCTTCGAACAAGAGCTCCCTCCCATGAAAGAGCACTAAACACCAGTCGCCGTTTTCTAGGTCCAAGCATCTTTTGTTAACTGTGTTTTCGAATAGTGTTTTTCTTTTTTGGACTCTAAAGTTGAAGTGGTAGCAGCCATCCATACAACTGGTCGACTCTTGATTCGAGACACTGTGATGACTCCTTTGCTCTATTGCGCCATCAAGTGGGCGATTCAAGTAAAAGTATAAATATTGAAAATGAAAAAATAAATGCTTGTGATGGCAATGTACTCTTAATATTGTCTTGAACTGTCCTTTTAAAATAGGGTCTGGTCCAAACAGAAAGGAAACTAACAGCACACAGGGTTTCCACAGCACGATGTGGGGTTCAGCAGTGTTTGGCTGCCCCTTTTATTTCGAATTCGGCGCAAACCTGTGAGCCAGTTCCTAAATCATGGTACGGACTGCCAACAAGGCCTCGAACTTCACTGCTTATGTAATCAACACAATCCTCGGTACGCACTTCACAAAAAATCTTCCTTGTTACCCGACACACACTTCCAAGCATCAACACATCGGACACATGTCTTATTGACAGCATTGTCGGGTAAAAACGGCTTTTCTCTGATATTGTTGAGCGGAGAACCTCTCACGCCAGCGGTGTTCTGTTGCTAAATACACAAGTGCGTAATGAATGGAGGACCCAGAGAAATGCGGCAGTTTGGCGAGAAAAACACTGGTCTCGCCAATGGTTGCCTTTGGTCTGAGCTAGAGCTGGGTGATATGGCTTTAAACCAATATCACGATATTTTGAGGATTTCACCTCGATAAAGATAAATGGACGATAACTACAGGTATGCGCAGAAACAAAGTTGTCCATTAGATGGGGCTGTCACGTGTATAAAAATGTGACTCAACGTGGTACATCTTCCTAAAGGGACATGAACGTTGCCAACCTACACACATCTTTTCATTTTTTTACTATCAAATTAATCGACATGGGGAAAAAATATCTCGATAAGAGTCAGAAACTTTGATAACGATACATTTTCAATTTATTGCCCAGTCCCAGTCCAAGCTAAGTTACCTGGTAGAGATTTTTAGACAAATGCGAGAGGACCACTTTATTATCATTGTTTTTTTACCCCCACCGTATATTTCTAGCTATACTATGTTAGAACATTTTTAAGTGTCATGTAAAAATGTTTTAAGCACATTTGTATCCCAGATGTGCTGTTGCAGCTTTAAGTTAATTCCAATAGAATTTTTGAACTTAAGTGAACAGCATTGAGTCATTCAGACTTTTGCTGAATTTACAGAGCAAAACAAAATTATTGTTGTGTTAAAAGTAAATGTATATTACTCTTTAGGTGCATTGGAACCAGTATGCTTAACTTCAGTGTTTCTATGTTTCCTTTCTTACTGTGTTCCACCGAAAAACTAGACCAATAGAAATATACAGGGAGTAAAAATACCTCTTTCTTATAATTGGTTACAATGTTTTTCCAATGTAAATGAAATAAATAAAACAAAATGTGCTGTACTTGTCTACAACAATAAGAACAGAGACTAACACAGTATTTCATTATTTATCAAGCCATTAAAACTGTGTCTGGTTGTGACTGGTTAATGTGGCGCGGCTTGTCCGTGTGGCAGCTAATCTCATTGGAATGTTCGCTTCATTTACTTCCTGTCATCATTTCATCGGGTCCACGTGTGATGGGAGAATTTCAGTGGAGGTTTTAAGCATCAGTTTCTGGATTCTGCTCATGACAACGGCCATAATGAACAAGGCCGGCCCCTGAAACTGGACTGGATCCATTTGAGCCCAAGTAGTCCCAGTGGACAGTCAGATGAAAGGAGCCTTCCCCTTTCCCCCTCACCGCCTCCCCTTCAGGAGCTCCTCCAATACCTCTAAAGAGAAGAAGGCTTATGTCAAACTAGCAATCTCTGGGCTACAATTTGGTTTGAAGTGCCCCCTGAGTATCATCTCCAGCTTTCATCACCTCTCTGATATCTACAAACAGCCTGTCAGTCTGGATCTGATGCGTTAGCAACACGCGTGACTCTGCTTACTATTAGCCCGATGCATCTGGGGGCTTCAAATAGCACTCATCACCTTAGCAACAAACACGTCTACCTGGCACACTATTACTGAAAACACGTGTGTGTGTGTGTGTGCGTGCGTGCGTGTGTGTGTGTGTGTGTGTGTGTGTGTGTGTGTGTGTGTGTGTGTGTGTGTGTGTGTGTGTGTGTGTGTGTGTGCGTGTGTGTGTGTGTGTGTATTAAGTCTGGAGACAGGCTTGATGAGGGGTAGAGAAAAGGATGCAGGGAGGAGGTGGATACTGCAGGTAGATAGATTGATGATGAAAAGGAAGTACATGAAAGGTGAAGAGTGAAGACTATTCAGTCTGATTTCCTCTCGATTAATTTGTGTTCAATTGAATTTCACAATTTTCCAAGATTTTAACTGTTCTGTTTGAAGCCTGAGATTAAAAATCTGTGCTCCACCCTCCATGCTTTGCTCATTTAGATTTTTCTCTCCCTCTCTTTCTCTTGTCTTAGCATTCGAGGTATTTTCACACCAAAGACGACTCCTTTTACTACAAAAAGATGCATTGTTCACGCTCAGAAATCTTGAGTGAGGAAAGAAAAGCTTCCACGGTCAAGCATGTTTGATAGTGTGTCTCTCAGTTAAATCCAGCAATAACTCCAATGTGACAGAATTATTCCACTATCTCAGTTTAATAGCTGTGAGGAATTCTGATCTATACAAAAACATTTTGCTTTGTCAGATTGACTTTTAAGTCAGTTTGTTCATTATGCCAAGTGATTTCAATCATTGCTGGTCTGATTGTCATGTTTTTAATCACAAACACCTGCTCTCCAGAGGAAACACAATTCCTTTTCCTTGCAGGGTTAGGTTTTTGATTGCTGGAGTAAAAAAGAAACTATAAAATGCAATATAAACATTTATGTTTCTCCTAGGATGTATCTTAATGGCGTTGCAGATCCCGTGAATATCCTCTGTGCTGGCCTCAGGCTCAGATATCCTCGTTCGATTCTTTGGAACGTGACTAAATCCTTCTGAGTCTGCCTCTGGTCCAAAGTCAAGTCTGATCAAATAGAAACAGTGATTCTCAGCCCCTTGGTAGACGAGTGTTTGGATTTCGTTTGCAACAAAGCAGAAAAACTCACTGCAGATCATCAAACTCATATGTTAAAAAGGTGGATGCATGGCTGGTGGGAAGTTAAACATCAGAGCTGAAATACCTGACTGAGGATGTGAGAAATTGTATCAGCTGGATGGGACACACTGGAAATGTCATCCATCCATTTTCGTCCACTCATCCGGAGTTGGGCTGTGGGGGCAGCAGCCTAAGCAGAGAGGCCCAGACTTACCTCTCCCAAGCTACTTGGGCCATCTCCTCTGGGGGAATCCCAAAGCATTCCCTGGCCAGCTGAGAGACACAGTCCCTTTAGCGTGTCCTGGGTCTTCCTTTTGGTCTTCCCCTGGTTGGACGTGCCTGGAAAATCTCACCAGGGAAGCATCCAAACTAGACGCCCGAGCGCACCTCAACTGGCTCCTCTCGATGTGGAGGAGCAGCAGATCTACTCTGAGCCCCTCCCAGATAACCAAGCTTCTCGTCTTATCTCTAGAAAACTAAGTTCAGCCGCTTGGATCTGTGGTCTCATTCTTTTGGCCTCTGCCCAAAGCTTGTGACCATAGGTGAGGGTAGGAACGTAGATCAACCAGTAAATCGAGAGCTTTGCCTTCCGGCTCAGCTCTCTTGTCCTTGACCCGAAGAAGGCATTCTACCATTTCCCAACCTACACAGGAAATGACTGTGACTAAATGTACACATCTGAATATTAAAATACTTTATTTATGTCTAAGTTGTGCTCCCTAAGTTGAGAGATTTGTTAATAAAGTTCATTTGAGCTCTCTGGCATTTGCAATGAGCCCTCTGATTGCTGCATACATGCACACACGATGCAGAATATGACGTTTTTTATCTGGACGCCTCTTTGCAAATGTCACATCTGCAGAACTACAGTAACTCTGCTTTTATGAGAGAGAATAGCTCTTAAATGTAAATCAGTGGTTTTATAACACTTCACAAAACAAACCTCTTCTTTGTCTCATCGTTTTATGCAATGTTTATAAAGAGCTGAATTTAGTGACACTAAGGAATGTTTGTTTTAGTAGCTGTAGGTAGTGATGTATATACATTTCCTCATTCTTCCCCATTCTAAATTTCAATTTAGCTGCAGCACATTCTCCTATTTACTGAGTTGCTGCTGTTTCATTGACCAAACAACGCACCTACAAAAAACCATGAATTGCACATGATTTGGAGGCTCTAGGTCACAAACATCAGTGTAGAGAAACTTGGCCTGCCTTGTGTGTCTTCATAGTACTGCAAGAGTCCTCTTGTTTGACGAGAAGAGACATTTTTGACACCAAGTTTCTGAAAGCAGACAACAGAAACACACTGAGCTGCTTTTGCCGAATCCAAGACAGCAGAAGCACAAACCTGTTGGGTCAGTTTCATTCGCTCTGATAAATCTCTAAAAAATGTCGATAGAAATATGCGCACACTCTCTCGCATGTAAGTAGCTGCACTGTGAAAGCATTTCTCTTTTCTCTCTCTTTGTTAACAGTGCATGTGTGCTGCTGCCATGACAACCGTGGCTCCTCCCCTTGCATTTCTTCTCCTGCTGCTTCAGCTGGCTGATGGCTCATTCCCAGAGGAGCCTGGTCCTCTCAGCTACGTCCCTGTAGAGGGTACGTGTCCTTCGCCTCTGTGTGTGTGTGTGTGTGTGTGTGTGTGTGTGTGTGTGTGTGTGTGTGTGTGTGTGTGTAACAGCACAGGTGTATGTGCAGAATTCATAAATGGCTCTGTAGTGGATGTGGAAATTGGAGGTCAAGGGTCAGAGCCTTGGTGAGGAGCTGCATTGGAGCTACCGAGGTGCACAGATAAGAGATGAAACTATGTATAGATTCAGATTTTTAGAAATGCAATAAAGCCTGACAGATTATTTGGATTGGGAGAGGAGACATTATGGGGATGGATCTCTGTCCTTCTTCTCTATTCAAACCCAGTGTGACATTTACTCAGTTTCTCTCCTGATGGTGAGGACTCCACTTCAAAAAACTTTCTCTCATTCTGAGTTCTGCCCTCCACTTAATGTATAGTTTAATTCAGATACATGGAAGACATGAAAGATGCCTTTTTTATTCCAAATAAAATAGTAATTTCACAGTTTTAGTCATTATGGAGCTACATGAACCAGCAACAGCAAGACAGAATTAGAGTGTTTTGGTGTGCTTCCTCTGACTTACAATCAGCCTCAGCCTGTTATCAATGTTTGCCTTAACAAAGGCATCAGGAATGATTGAAGACACTATTAAAGTGAAGGTTAGAGAAGGCATTTTACTGCCTGGCCTCAGTACTTCTGGTAAATATAGGAGGAAAAGTGCTTGTTCTGTCCTCAGCTGTCAGAGAGTCCTTGAGCCAGGAACACACCTTATTTTCTTTTCTTTTTCCTAAACATGAAAATCACTTCTTTTCTGTGGGATCATGGCTCCAGTGGTCAGGAGGTACCCGGTGTTCCTGGGCCGGGCTCATCGCTCAGCTCAGAAACAGGAGCTGTACATCCAGACCGTCCTCCAAGTCAACCGCACTCTTTACATCGGAGCCAGGTAACCAACAGCAACCGCCTCCACTGACACACTCGCATTGAGATGTGTTGGCTTTCCATCTGCTGTCACTCTTCAAGGGACTTTTTCAAATTTTCCTAGTGATGATTTATTCAGTGCTGCTTTTAAATGTCAAGTGTGTGTGTGTGTGTGTGTGTGTGTGTGTGTGTGTGTGTGTGTGTGTGTGTGTGTGCGTGTGTGTGCGTGCGTGTGCGTGTGCGTGTGTGTGTGTGTGTGTGTGTGTTCATTCACATTCACCTTTAACACTGGAGATTGTAGCATCCAGCAATGCTCAGTTTAGGTACAGCCTGACCTTTTACCATCTATTCAACATCTGGTCAGAAAGGAGACACAACATTGTATGTGTTCCCTTTAAACGAGTCTGCCTTCACACCAGTTGGGATTCACAGACGCTGCTGGTCTTAAAGATAAACAATAACTTTCTCTCCCAAGTTTTCATCCGTCTGCCTCCAGAAGACTCCAACTCCAGCTCGAATTCATTGCTAAATTCAAGAATCATTTACTAAATCAATATGAACTCCTTCTATGACTTATAATCTAGATAATCATTAAATAAACGTTTGTTTATTACTACTGATGATATTTAGTCTTAGTTTAGTTTATTTCAAACAAAGAAAACATACATCTTTTTTTTTATTCCACAAACAGAAAAAAATACATATCATCATCCCTTCTCTGTTTGAAAAGGAGTAGGCTGAAGTGGAAACTTATATGTCCCTAACCCTTTATACAAGTAATTTTTACTTGTTTACAAAACACAAAACCTACATTAAAACAAACAAATATTTATAGTACAATGAAACGCTTCATTAATCTGTGCTTACTGAACGGATGTTATGTTTGTCTACTAGACTGCAATGTGTTCACCATGTTTTGACGACAAGGTCCTCACACCTGCTCATCAACAATAACAAGTATGGTTAAGTTAAATCCATTACACATAGCTAACCTTTTACCCAGATCAGAGCCTCCGTATCAAAGAAGGTGTTTCTGAGTGTCTTGGTAACATCTCTCAAACCAGCCTCTGATTGGCTATCCAAATCATAACATCAATTCCTTAAAACTAAATTGCTTTGAGTAATTTGTCAGTTCTAGAGAAAGCTTTAGACCGGCCATCTTTAGCCAAATCTCTTCAACCATCAAAGATTTTGACATCGTCAAAATCTTTTTGCACCTACAAAGCTGAGACAGCAAAACCAGTTCCTGCAGAAACAAGCTGATATAGTTAAACTCCTTAAGAGTTATTCCTGAGACGCAAGCTGATTCCAACCTGTGCTGCCTGTTGGCAACTCTGAACTGGAGAAGTCGGTGCTTGAGGTCAATCTACCGGACCTGGGTGCCCCGAGGTCATCCAACCTCTCTGACCTCTGGATCCGTGACGAGGGTCATCAAAAGGGTGAGGTAGAACAAAGAGAGATTGCGTCTGAATGTGCTTCTTACTTCTTACGATAACAACTTCATAGCTTAAGCAATCCAAATTATTTTTCATCCGGAGACACCGCTCTCCGAAATTCGGGAGTTCTGACCAACATCTCATTGACACATAGCCTACATCACCTTTAGCTTCATCCATTCACAGTAAATGCTTAGTTCACTTGTCGTGTTATATTTGTAATAAAATAATTTCTTACTATTATAAACCTGACTCTTTTCTGAATCAAAACGAAGTGTGTATAATTACTTAATAAAGCAAAAATCCTAGAATGTTCTGATTAAGCCCTATAATCTTCTGATATTTACAATAAAGATCAAGCAAGGTAATATTGTATATTTATACAGAATATCAAATAAATAATACACATTAGCCTCCGCTACAAGATAAACAGAAAAAAAGCACATGGTTAAAACTGTTCCTCCATTTGAAAATTATAACATTTCTTACTATTCATCAACACATTTTAATCATTAACCAACACACACACACACACACACACACACACACACACACACACACACACACACACATACACACACACACACACACACACACACACACACACACACACACACACACACACACACAATCCTTAACCAACAATGTTTTGCATCAGCATTTTGCTGGTCCAACATTGCAACTATCCAATCATGTTGCAGTGATGTCACACTTCCACAGCTTCCCCAGCGCCGCTGAAATCAGCTCTCTCATTGTGGATTCTGCATTGATTGACAGGATGCATCAGCTAAATGATTTTACCGATTGGTGCGTTTTAAAATAATGCATCTTTCCAGAATATATTGCAGATGCTTTATTTTGTGATCATCACTTACACCTGCTGTTGGCTGAGCTTTGACTACTTGCAAGTTAATGTCATTAACTAATAAAAAATGGTCAATCTGATGCTAAATCAAATTAATAATATTCATGTGAAACAAAACTTATAATTTAAAGTTTATTTCTTTTATTTAAATATTTGAATTTGGTTCAGTATTTCTTTGTCACAACAATGCTTTGTGGCGATAACACTTATATTGCTGGACAGCCTGATTGGTCCAGCTTAAAGTGTCAAAATGTAATTTCATCATTAATCTCTGGAAATATCTATCAAAACTGTAAAAATTAATAAAATGATGTCCAGTCGTTGAAAAATATTGGCAGCTTTGGTACTATATACCCATAAAAACCAAGTCTAAAGTACGTAGGGTGAGGGTCTAAGTCTCCGGGGGACACCATATTAGATAGACGCCATGTTTCTTTCAGGCTGGCTCGGAGTCTTGTGCCTGTTGATGACATAACACTAGATGAATGGCTGGACGTACGACTTACAGAAGTTACATTACCACGTTCAAAAACATTTAGATAGTAAGAAACATGATTTTTATAACAAAACTGCTAAAATATTTCCAAAACCTGTTTGAAATAACAGGATTAAAAAAAACGATATAATATACTTTGGCCAAGTGGTGTTGCCGTAGTATGATGATGTCATCGGCAGGCGCAGGACCCCGAAAACTACAGCGCCAGAAAGCTAGCATCAGCTTGCATTCTCTGGATGGAATTAACTGAAAGACCGTCAAAGTCTGAGTCACACCGAGGTTTCATGCTTTCTGCTCCACAGGTAACAACATTTACTGTAATGTTTTTCTAAACTAGCGACGGTCACAGCGGTATGCTGTAAAACTACCCTGAAATGCATGTACTGCCCCCTAGTGGCAGGAAACTACACCTCCACTTTAACAAAAGTAACAATTGTATAACAAACAATTGGCCTTCACAATAATGAGGAAAAACACATAATGTCAATTTTTACACTTTGATGATTGTACACACTCAAGGGCCTCAGTGGCGAGTGAAAGTCCATATGCAGCCACGACAGCTTGGCTCCTCCTCCTTTGCGCTGGTCACATGAATGACCATTCCACTACACTGGTTACACACCTGTGACTGACACACCTGGCAGCACATAAACCTCAAAACAAGAGTGAATATCAACAGAAGAATGTTGCAGGAGATTTTGGCACACATGTTAGGTTTTCCACATGCATGACTCGAATAAGTTGTACCTCAACGTAAAAGAGACCAATGGAATCAGATTTTTTAGTTGTTAATCTTTTGGTGTAAAAGATCTGCTCATGCATTACTTCTTGGACAGAATATTGGGCTTGTTTATCTGAATAATGAGATTCAAGATTGTTTTGTATTCTCACGTATAGGTTGTCATTTACCAGGGGTGTCCAAAGTTTTCAAGATGAAAATAATTGAATTAAATTAAGTTCTCGTGGTTTACAAAAAATTTTTTCTTTAAATTGATTATTTTTATGGTGATTGTTTTTTTTCTGCTCAAAAAGACCTCAAATAGACATCTTAGTAAAAATCTGAACGTAAAATAAGTTGCTCTAAATAGGCAGCTTGCTGGAGAGACAAAACTCTTCCATAATTTTAACTAACTTTAAAAAAAATCCCATTGAGCTCCAGATCTCATTTGTAAGGGAAACCAAGCCAAGAGGACAGCAGCACACAACAAAACAGAACCACAAACATGATGGAAGATCGCCAGTGGTCGTAAACAGAAGAGCATTTGTGGTTATATGACTGTTAAACAAAAGACTTTTGTCTTTTTTATCCAAAGAAGGCAATGGCTCTAAAAAGTTTCAAGTCATAAAGTTTAGTTTCTGGAGCTCTTTGTAACAGTGAAAATTAGAAAAAACATGCACCCACTGATGGACGCTTTTCCCTATTATATGAAAGGTTTTCAGTGAGACAAGTTCAGACATTTTCAGTTCGGCTTGAAGATTATTCCATGAAACCCGTTTATCATCTTAATCTGGACCTGAATGCAAGTGAGGACCACAAAATCCCTCGGAGGGCCACAAATGGCCCTCGGGCCGCATTTTGGACATGCCTATCCCAGACCAATATTTTAATAATTATATAAGACATTAGTCTTTAAACTTGGTAAATGTTTTATTACGTGATTTTATGACATACTGTTGAAACTCTTCGTCTTCGTCTTCGTCTTCCTCCGCTTATCCGGGTCCGGGTCGCGGGGGCAGCATCCCAATTAGGGAGCTCCAGGCCGTCCTCTCCCCGGCCTTGTCCACCAGCTCCTCCGGCAGGACCCCAAGGCGTTCCCTCTCCAATGTGTCCTGGGTCGACCCGGGGGCCTTCTGCCGGCAGGACATGCCCGAAAAACCTCCCCAGGGGGCGTCCAGGAGGCATCCTGACCAGATGCCCAAACCACCTCAACTGGCTCCTTTCGATCCGGAGGAGCAGCGGTTCTACTCCGAGTCCCTCCCGAATGTCCGAGCTCGTCACCCTATCTCTAAGGCTGAGCCCGGCCACCCTACGGAGGAAACTCATTTCGGCCGCTTGTATCCGCGATCTCGTTCTTTCGGTCATTACCCAAAGCTCATGACCATAGGTGAGGATTGGGACGTAGATCGACCGGTAAATCGAGAGCCTGGCTTTCTGGCTCAGCTCCCTCTTCCCCACGACAGATCGGCTCAGCGTCCGCATCACTGCAGACGCCGAACCAATCCGCCTGTCGATCTCCCGATCCCTCCTACCCTCACTCGTGAACAAGACCCCGAGATACTTAAACTCCTCCACTTGAGGTAGGACCTCTCCCCCGACCCGGAGGTGGCAAGCCACCCTTTTCCGGTCGAGAACCATGGTCTCAGATTTGGAGGTGCTGATCCTCATCCCAGCCGCTTCACATTCGGCCGCGAACCTACCCAGCAAGAGCTGAAGGTCAGAGCTGGATGAAGCTAGGAGGACCACATCATCCGCAAAAAGCAGAGACGAGATTCTCCTGCCACCAAACTACCACTGTTGAAACTCTAAAACTTAGAATGTGGCGCAAAAGTTCATTTATTTCAGTGATTCATCTAAAAAGGTCAAACTACTAAATAGACTCAATACATGCAAATCCGCTTCAGGCCTTTGTTATAATTTTGATGATTATGGCTTACAGCTTATGAAAACCCCACATTCAAAATCTCACACTCTAATCAGCTAATGAATCCAAAACACCTGCAAATGGTTTCTGAGCCTTTAGATGGTCTCTCAGTCTCTCAAATACAGACATAAATGGACTTTTGTACAATATTCAAATATTTAGTTTAGCCTGTTTTTCCATTTATTTTATTTTATATTGTTACATTTTAGGTGTTGTGGTAATCTATTGGACTGCTTCAGACAGAGCTGATATCATGCCTTCCTGACTTTTTCCTGGTTCCATAGGGATAAGAAAACCCTGCAACGTGATTGGATAGTTGTGATGCGTCATTGGTCCATGACTCGGAACAATAAAAGAATTATAAGACATCTATTTAACACAGGTTTCTCCTGTAAGAGAACACACTTCTCACATTTGCAACAGAAGATCCTCTGGATGTTACTGCAACTGGAGTGACATCTGAGTGGATGTTGTAGACCAGATTCAAAAGGTCGTCTTTTGAAATTGCTGTTTCAACAGTGTAGCTGGAGGCTCCATGATCACTCTTTTTAATTTAATAATAGTAGTAAATGTATTTGAATGTGTAAAAATGACTATAAGTAGGGTAGTTCAGCAGAAAAGTGTATGAAGAAGCATCTATTACACACACACACACACACACACACACACACACACACACACACACACACACACTCTGGAGGATTTGCTCTTGTGTTCACATCCCAACACACTCATCAGTCTTCCAGGCTGCTGAGCAGAGTGAGTAATCTCAGGAGGAAGTCAGGACAACAGGGCCATCACCTTTGTAAAAATCAATGAGATAAAAATCACAAGAAAACCAGAATCACTTCTACTGATCAGAAGTCATTTACATTTACCTAAAATGCCAGAAACGTTGCATAATTCAGAAGCAGTTTCCATGATTTCAGAACATTTCCCTAGAATAATATCTGGCTGTGACTCATAAGAAGCACACAGGCAGATGGCAGAGCGACAGAAATTGTATTTTGATTAATTTTTTTCTAAAAAGCTGTTCAAGTGTGAAGAAAGCGACTGTTTTGAGAAGCATGCACTGACATTTACTCCCCAGCTACTTTGTTAGATAAACCAGCAGAATGATTTTTGAAACACTAATGTGCCAATCAGGTTGCAGAAAGTTAAGTGTAAAAGTCTTGAGTCATGCCTTGTTTTAAAAAATATATTTGGGTTTTATAAAAACTAAATCAGTGATGAAAATTTCTAACTTTTGAAGAAATGCTGAAAAATTCAGGCATCACAGAGGAAGAATATTAAAAAATGAATTATTCAGTATTTGAAATAAAGTAAATCATAAGCTCAGAATTAGAATGGCTCTCAACTACCGCTACATCAAATAATATCTGTAAATCTGACAAAATAAATGTTGTTTTTTGTATTTGTTAATGCTGATTAGCTGTAGTGGCGATTCTGAAAGGAAGCTCTGATGATAACTTCATAAAAGTTTAATTAATGTCATATTTCTGCAATAAATTTAAAAAAATGCAATGATTGTTGCTGTTGACGTTTTTTAATATATTAAATAACCAAATATCTTCATATTTATAACACAAACAGTTGATTTGTGGGTGTTTTCATCTGGCTTGTAGAGATGACTTGTATCGAGTGGAGCTGGATAACATGGTCGGAGAGGAGATGTTTTACAGTAAGGTATGACTCATTTTTGTCACAAACACACACACACACACACACACACACACACACACACACACACACACACACACGCACTAATAAATAACAACATTCACATAACAGCATGTGTAACAGAGGGTTTGTGTTGCAGAAAAGGACATGGGAGTCCAATAAGAACGACATCCGGGTGTGTCGGATGAAGGGCAAACACGAGGTAAAATAAACAGCACCACTCGTATTTTTGTTTCTTTTTCTGTTCTATAACAGGCAAACAGATGGAGCAGCTGTTTCAGAGACCTTGTGGGTGCACCTGCAGACGGGGCTTACACAAACTTGATCTTGTTGATACACAATCAGCAAATCACCTCATCAAGCAAATTCAGGGAAAACCGGAAGCTTTGAATTTATCATGCAGATCGTGTTAGATTCCTTAATATATGGAAAAGAAGGGAACGCTGTTGGGTTCGTGGAAAAGTCAAGCCTGAGAAAGTTTTGAGTTATATGGAAAAAAGAAAAGAAAATGGTATTATTTAGGGGCCATTGGCAAACTTTTGTGAGAAAAGTAAAGATATGAAATAGAAGGGATATTATAACCGAGGATAGTTTAGTGACACGGCCTCGGGGAGTGAACAGTAATTGAAAACAGGTGATGAAGGGAAGCATAGGTAACAATGAGATGTGTGGAGGTGGAGGAAAAACAGAAAATAAACTAGGAGGAGGAGAGGGCAGCCACTTACTGGTGGGAGGGCAGATGAAAGAGGAGACGGTGTGGGAGGGAATAAGAGAACTAAACCAAAGGCGAGAGGAGAGGGAACGGCTCAAGGTGGACGTCAGATAAAAACAAACAGGAACTTTGTTGGATTACTTAAATAGTACAGATTTTTAAACTTCTGCATAAATTTTAAAGGGAACAAAGTGAATCATCCGGCTAGTGCTACAGCAGTGAAGTAATGAGGACAGCCATGATAAAATGAAGAGCCACTCTGGTTATAGAGGAGTCTGCATCAGCTGGTTTTCAGACCCTCCATTTATCTTAAAATTTATAAATCTGGATTATTTAACTGGAACACAGATTACTGAGGTGTTTAAAGGTGTGGTTGACTGAAAAACATTTTTTTTATGATTTTTTCTGATAATATTTGGTCACTCTGAGTTTTTCATGCAGGCTGAACATGAAAATAGTCTCCTACACCTATCTCATGCATTAGATGCTAATAGAAAATAGACGGTGAAACTCTAGGATTTCAAAATCCTCACATTACTATGTCACACTGTGAATCTGCATTTGTGGCTTTGCCCAGCTTGGCTCGCGCCTGCCCACAGGAAGGCTTTTTCTTTTGTTTATTTATTTTTTGCGAGAGAGAGAGTGGAGAGTGTCTTGGTTATAGTGACTTTGCAACATGGCTCAACATGTTCTGTTAGCCAATCAGAAGCCAGGTGTGTACATATTAATAATAATGAGTAATCCTGCTGTTTTCAACCTACCTCTGCAGCAAACTTCTGCATCTCAGAGCAGGAGCATCATAGCTTTTTTTTGATAACTTATAAGGCACTGATTTACACTAGAGTACACTGCAAATGTATTGAATGAACAAGTAAACCACACCTTTAACAATCTTACAGATTTCGTATTTAAACATGTGGGAGCTTTTGAGTTTTTAATGAGTTTAAGGGTAAAAATTCCCATTTATTTAAGCCATAATTTGTAACTTTTTCATAAGTTTAAAATTTTTTCTTGAGCCATTATGGGCTAAAATGAACCTTTACAGGTCGATTTAATGAAAGGCCTCCCAGCCAGTCGCCCCCGTGGCCAGAATATTCCATTTCCAACTTCAGAGTGGCGGTCCAGTCTGCTGAGACTCAGAAAGAAAGTAGCTGACTTACCTGGCGCTGCAGTCTGCTTCCAGTGTGTTTCTTGCATGTTTTAAACTATGGCACAGCTGATTTGTTGAATTTAGTGATGAATCACTCCTGCAAACACTAATGAAGGCAGGGGAGATGTTTCAGCTGTTAAGTTAAGGTGTTCAAAAGACGAACGCACAGCAAGGAGATATGTTTTGCTGTTAGTTCTGCAAATTGGCACTAGGGGATGCTAAAAGTAAGTCAAAACTTCCTAGTTCCCCTTTAAACATCACTCTGCAATGAAAACATATTTTATCCCAACTGAAAGGCAGTAGTATTTATGAGTTACTTCCACCAAAAAGAAATAAAAGGAACACAAATGCAAACATAAGAATTTGTTCAGAATCATCCTTTTCATCTCTGATTCCTCCTCTCCTGCAGGGCGAGTGTCGTAATTTCATCAAGGTGTTGCTCAGCCAGCATGGAGGTCTGTTTGTCTGTGGCACGAATGCCTTCAACCCTCTGTGCACCAACTACACAGTTAGTATTCACCTACCTGCAGCCTGATGGCTTGTTTCGTATCCACCTCTCATAAAACATCTCTTTCTGCAGCGAGACACTTTAGAGGTGGTAGGAGAGCCCATCAGCGGGATGGCACGGTGCCCATATGACCCACGACATGCTAACGTGGCGTTATTTGCAGGTATGGCTTTGCTGTCTAGTTTTATCTCAGACATCGAACTTGGTTTTCAGCTCCAGACTTTGAAGCGCTCACACCTATCAGTTTACCTTTACAGGTGATTTATGGTCAGACCTCTCACTGCAGCTCTTGTTTGGCTTTAATCTCTCTGACCTTGTGCTATCTCTGCATCTGTATCTTCCCCTCTTTCCTTCTTAATCTTCCCTCACTCCCTCCCTCCGTGCATCCCTCTCTCTCTCTCCTTCAGATGGAAGTCTTTTTACCGGCACTGTGACGGATTTCCTGGCCATCGATGCAGTGATCTATCGCAGCCTGGGCGACAGCCCTGCGCTCCGCACCGTCAAGCACGACTCCAAGTGGTTCAGAGGTACTTTTAGAAACATTAACGGCGGCCCTTCAGGACCGGAAACATTCCGCAGACGTGCAGCAGAAACCGCTGCCTTCAGTTATTTACCAAAATAAAATGGAGCCACCACTAGTGGCTGCTGTGTGCTATGGGGCTAAAATCTGAACTTCAACTGAAGCAGACATGATTAAAATTCCCTTTAATAGAATTTTTATAATAGGAGCTTGATCAGATGGAGTGATGTATTGAGGTTAGTCAGATTCCCCACAGATTCAGAGATTTCAGTCCGCGATTGAACTGGAAGGCCTTGGGCAAAAGGGTTCAAATGTGTCAGAGCTGGAGCAGGAAGAAAAAAGGATGAATTAGTTGTTATGTATTCTGCTAGATTAAATATAAGTTCGGTGTTGACATGGAGTCCGGTTTGTGGATTTTTGTATTTCAGAACCCTATTTTGTGAGCGCCATGGAATGGGGGCCTCACATTTACTTCTTCTTCAGAGAAATGGCCATGGAGTTTCATCATCTAGAGAAGGTCTTCTCCTTCTCTCTACCTACCTCCTTCATTAGTTCTTTTTTATAACTTCTTCAGTTAGACTAAAGGTTTATCGAATCATTCTTTTCCCAGGTGATGGTATCCCGAGTTGCACGTGTGTGTAAATCAGACCTGGGTGGCTCTCAGCGCGTCCTGGAGAAACAGTGGACCACGTTCCTTAAAGCAAGACTCAACTGCTCCATCCCAGGAGACTCGCACTTTTACTTCAACCTCCTGCACGCCACAAGTGACATCATCCACATGCAAGGGCGAGACGTCATCCTGGGCTTGTTCTCCACACCACCTAACAGGTAATACAAACACACACACACACACACACACACGCACACACACAGTGTGGAATAAACCAAACTTCCTTTCCCTCTTGTCTCCGTAGCATCCCCGGCTCTGCTGTTTGCGTGTTTGACATGCAGCAGCTCGCTCATGTTTTTGAGGGTCGATTTAAAGAGCAGAAATCCCCCGAGTCCATTTGGACACCTGTTCCGGATGAGGCGGTGCCTAAACCAAGGTGATGTGATGCAAAGTGTGTCTGTGGGGGGAAAGAAAGAAGAAAAAAGCGCATCAGCAGAATACTGCAGTGCTGCTGTTCTGTCCTGGGCATCTGTCTCACAGATTCTTCACTGCTCTTCTATAAAATCCAGCTTCAGAAGATAAAAATATTTTTCCATCCCTCCCATGTCTCCTCCTCGTGTCTGCAGGCCTGGGGGATGTGCAGTGCAGGGATCCAGATTTAGCTCCTCAACCACGCTTCCAGACGAGGTGCTGAACTTTGTGAAGACCCACCCGCTCATGGATGAAACTGTCCCACTGCTGGGGCACAGACCATGGGTGGTCAAGACAATGGGAAGGTGCTGAAAATTACACTTTTGATATTAAATCCTGAGCCTTGAAACATGTAAGCTGAACATATGTGTGTACATGCCTGTGTGTAGCGCAGCAAATGTTCTTTAACCACCTAATTTATCAACACACGTGTTCATATAGGTACCAGCTGACAGCCATGGTGGTAGACACAGAAGCTGGGCCCCATAAGAACCGTACCGTCTTGTTCCTGGGCTCCACCCGAGGGACCATCCTCAAGTTCCTAATGATTCCTAGTGGAGACTCTGTCTCTCACAGCAGCGTGTTTCTGGAGGAAGTGGAGGGATTCAACCCAGAGAAGTGAGTGGGAGTCAAGAGATCCTTATAATTTATCTCTAATTTATTACAATTCCTGGCATAATGCTTCAGATATCTGGTCCCAGTGCACCAGCTTCCAATTGTGCTTTCCACTTATGGACTCACTTTGGTTGCCATCACTGAAAAACAGCTCAGAGTTTCCACTGAAAACTACCGTATCCATCACAGGTTACTTATACCATATATCAGGTGTGCACATAAGTGGTCCGCAGGTGCGCACGCGCTGTCAAAATAAACAATGCGCACCTGAAAAAAAGCTGCAGCACGCACCTAAGATTTTGTGGAGGAAGACAGACATTTCTGGAACATTTTAAAGATGTCCAAGAAGCAAGCTCCATTAAGTAATTATTTTGGTGTTCCTCCGCCTCCAAAAAACGTCAGACTGAGTCGGAACCGCAAAAGAAAAGAGTATTCGCGGAGAAGTGGCTGCAGGAGGTCGGCTGGCTTCAAACAAACGATGAACGCACAGAGATGTGGTGCAGATTGTGCCGTGAAAATCCCACCCTGGCAGACAAAAACAGCGCCGCTTACATAGGCACTGAAAACTTCAATCATCCAGCGTTTGATAAACATACTAACAGCAGACAACATCAGAAAGTTGTCCTCTGCTGCGTGTGAACTGGAGGAAGCCAGTCAGGATAGTGAGGAGGATGATGAGGAGGATGATGAGAGTCTGTAGAGATAAAAACGGCATTTATGCCATTTTAAAAACTTCAGCGCTCTGAAATAGTAATTTTGTTAAGGGCTTTAAAATTCATTTTATTAGATTTTTGCTATCACAAAAACAGCTGTTTACACATTGTGTTTTACATTCAGACAATTCAGTCATGTTGTTTGAAAATTAGAAGGTTTAAGTTAAGCTGGCAATATGTGCCTGTTGTACTTATTGTTTTCAGTCAAAATTCAAATATGTTGCATCATCAACGCGTTACTCTGTTTTGTTCCTATTGTGAGTTGGGTTGAGAATTAAGTGCATTAAAAAAATGTGAGGACCAAGCAACAGCCATAGGTTCTCCCCTGAGTGCCAACTCAAAAATATTATGTGCACCCCTGCATATAATTAAAGCAGGACTGTATACATTTTTTGCTGAGCTGCAGCTACGGCTGCCTCGGTGGTGGAAGTTACAGGATCTATACTCATTAAATTCTGTTGAGCTCCAGCGTGAGCAGAGATGGAAATTAGAACAAAAGCGTGTCAATCACTCATGCAACAACCACTAATCTAACTGTCCGTTCATGTCAAGTCAGCATCCGGCTAATGGGATTACTCTGACCGAAACCGCCTCTACCACGTTGCTTGTGTGTAAAGGTATTTGTGTTAAACGTGTGTTTCACATGAGATTTTAGAAATGAAGGAGGAAGGGTCGGTCCGTTTTGAGTCAGTGTTTGGTTTGAGAATGAGCCTGAAACAAGTCCATTCCACGTAATTAAACCAAGTACAATAACCCAGTTTTGATCACGTCAAACCAACTCATTTGGCATTGGTGGTTCAGTTTAACTAATTACATTGGATCAACGTAGTATTCTTACATTGGCTCAAAATGATTCATTCAAGTATGTAGAGTGAAAATATTTTAATAATTTCCACAACCTCACTAAAACCCTTTTTTAAGTGTGTCTGCGATGCGCTGTGCCAGAGCGTCGGTATCTGACGCCCGCCGTAAAACGGACATTTGACCAAATTGTGACCTTTACCCTCTTGCAATTTAACCTTCCCCTCACCCCCATCCTAACCTTAACCAGCTTGCGTATGCAAAGCTCTCATCGTTGACGCGCTCCAGACATCTGCGTCCTGAGCACGGCCACAGTAACATTATCAAATTAGGTGTCACTACTCAAAAACAAATTTAACACGCGATCATTCATGTCGGTGTCGGTACAAGATCTGCTAGGGTGCAAGATCGGCTCGGGGTCCGTCGGCTGCCGATGACATCAAAGTAGTTGACTGGCTGAACATGAATCTTACGGAATTACGTAATCACGTTACGTTGTTATCACGTTACGTTGGTCCAGGCAAATCTTTCTGTTGGAAAGATGGACAACTTTTACAAAGAAATCCATTACCTCTGAAAATACACTTTTAGCATAGAGCTGCATGTATATTAGGGCTGAACGATTAACTGCATGTGCAATTAAATTGCGATGTGACAAAAGGAGATTTTCTAATCGCAAAGGCTGCAATTTGGCAGCAAGTGGTTAGCGTAATGCTAATATACGTGGAAAAACCCATAGGAATGCTAATGCTAATATCGCTGATTACATTCTTACAAATTATGAATTAGAAACGTGCCAAATGATTCCATTTGGAGTCTAGTAGAAAGTAAAACTACCATCAATCAAATAAGTACAGACAGATATTTTAGTAAAGCCAGAAAACTTTTAACTCCAGAGTTTTGGCTAGCAGCTATGAGCGTAACTGAACTACGCATGGACAAGACGTCAAAAACTCTAAACACAAAATACTTCAATAAACGGGACACACTTCTTTCCTGCAAATACAATTTCACAGGTGTTGCTAATACCTATGATTCTTCAAGGGATGTGCTCAAAGAGGAGTTCAACATTACGAATACAATATAGTGTTTTATTTTACAAATACCATTATGAACAAAAACTTACGTCTTAAGAAACATTATTTTAATAACAAAACTGCTAAATTCTTTCCAACAGTATAGATGTGTAGTGTGTTTTGTCCGAGTGGGTTTGCCGTACTTTGACGTCATCGGCAGTCGAAGGACCCCGAGCCGATTTTGCACCCAAGCAGATCTTGTACCGACATCGGCTCATTTCGTTTTATGTTTGCTGTCTTTTATTTGTGCCTGATGCGTTTCGCGGCTGCTGTGGAGCGGAGCGCATCACCTGTTTTGTCCTCCGGTGACGCACCCCACCGGTGCGGCCAGCGCGCAGCACACACTCCGCTGTTTTTGCGGTCGGTAGATCTTTTTTATCTGCAGTTCAAAGGTAACTCATAAGGTGAATATACATGAAGCCAGGTGGCAGTTTTTCTTTAGGATTGAGAGGAGATGCAGGAAGATAATAAACAGAGACATGACAGAAAAATAGTCAAATAAAAACAAGTTCGTTTTTTTACCTGGTGGTTGCAACAAACAGACACCATTGAAGATAATCAGAAGTCTCTTAAATATATAAACACATTAGTAAATACACTATCGAGGACCGCATACACGAGTGTTATGGTGGCAGGATACCACAGAACAGTGTTACGCCCTCTGTTGTGCTGGCGGAGAATAGCTTTGCAACACTCCGCTGCCTGAACAGAAATTTGAATGTGAAAACCTTTTCGACACTCCTTGTGCGTCTCTCTGCTGAGGAGCTCTGAATTATAAATCAGGCTTCACACGATCCTTTTCAATCATGCTTTTAGTTTTTTGCTCACTGTCAGCTTATCAACTATACAAAACTGTTTTTAGCACATGCATATTTCATTTCATTAATAATGGGAAATCTGTTCCATCCAACCAGTAATCAGCAAGCAAAATCATGAACACAATCTATTCATGTTACCCCAACAAGAAGGAATCATGTATAAATTACATTGTACCCATAGTGACCCATAATTCTTGCTCAATTTTTTTCTGTGGTAGAAGCCCAGCCTATCAGGGGACTGGTGGGCGTGGTCAGCAGCAGCTTATTTTCTTAAAGTGACAGAGCCCCTAAACGGCTCACTCTGGAAAGTACTGAAAATATCAAGAACAGAACAGGGATTGTAATTTATGTGAGAGGGACTTTATGGGAAAACGTTATAAATGTATTTTTTATTGACCATAAAACTATTATAACTGTCATAATCGGTCCCCTTTAAACTCCATTTTAAGCTGACTATCTGATGATTCTAGTCATTTTTATTCACTGTTTGAATTTACAAATGTCCTTGTCTATGATTCCGCTTTACTGATTTCATCAGCTGGTGACATTAAAAGTTCTGACAATGTTTTCAAAAGTTGTTCATGAATTACTTAAAACAGACTGATTTAACACCTAGAACTGCAGGAAGACGAGGCACAATGAGCTCATGGAATTTTCATTCACACTGAAGTGTTTATCCATCCATTCATTTTTGGCCACTTATGCGGGTGTCATCTCGGGTCCTCCAGCATGTCCTGAGTCTTCTTTTAAGTCTTCTCCCAGTTGGAGGGTATGCCCGAGCCACCTCAACTGGCTCCTCTCGATGTGGAGGAGCAGCGGATCTACTCCGCTGAGTTTTCCCATTCTAGTCTTCTTAATTAAAAGAAATGACGTGATCAGAGCCAGATCGCTATTAGAAATAATGTAATTTATGCAAAACCAAAAACATGTTTTTTAGCCGACTTATTCTGTATGTTCATTTTCACTTTTCATTTTGGTTTTAACTTCTTTTATAATTCAACTTCTTTTATTTTAATTGAACTTTTTTTCTTTTGATCACGTTTCAGTTCTTGGTGACGTTTGTTCAGAACTTCTTTCTGTTACCAGTTATTCTCTCCTGGCATGTGATCTGTTTATTAACGTTCTGTCAGTGGCAGGTCCCTGCTGTCTTCACCTGCTTTTATTGCTGCACACACCTCCTCTCTTCTCATTCTGCCAGCCTGCTTTAATCATGCTAAAACAAAGCAAACCCCATGTTTTGTTTACTGCACATTTCACATGGAAATGTTCTGCCTCATCTTTATTAGCAAACTACTGGTAGTTTGTCAAACTGACATGGAGTAAACTGGCAGAAATTTAACAGGGGTTTGATGTCAGGTGAAAGTTTGCATGAGATGGCAACACTTAGCAGATCATTTTTCACTCCATTTCTTCTCTGTGCATCCATCCATGGTTTGTTTATATTTGTGGGCAGCTCAGCAAGCCGATGCCGTACTTTACTGATTCCTTTAATAAATCGTGGGCTTTTACACTTGATGACGTGATGGTTGGAAGTTCTGACACAGTTTGCTGGAATTACTTTTGGACAAATTAATGAGTTAAAACCGAATTTATTTTTCGATGAGGTCACAGGTTTTGTCCTCTTGTCTGCAGGTGTAGTGAGGACTCTCCTCAGGCCCGCCAGCTCCTGTCCCTGACTTTGGACCGAACCAGCCACACTCTGCTGCTGGCCTTCCCCTCCTGTCTGGTCAGAGTGCCAACATCACGCTGCCATCTCCACTCACGCTGCATGAAGTGAGTTTGATAACGCCACTTTTATTCTTTTTAGAGTTTTCTTTTTTTTTTATTCCTCCCAATTGTGTTTTTTTGGCTGGTTGGTGAGTTTCTGTCTCTGTCTCTCTGTTTCTGTCTGTCACTGGCCAAAGCAGTCCAGATTTGTTTCATCTCTGATTCCTCACTCAATTAAATTTGCATTTCGGTTTGTTCCAGTCAACAGAGGAGGAACGACATGTGTGTTTACCAGATCGCAACTATAGCTTGTTTGCTGTGTTCTCCAAGAAATCATATTTATCTGTAAGAAGAAGAATTCAGGGCCGTGATCTGATTTCAGTACAAAGAAAGCTTTTGTTTGTTATCATCTATATGAAGAGGATAATTCCAGCTTTATTTTCAGCTTCTCTCAGAGGACATTTATCTCACTTCAAGTACCCAGAAAGATACAATATGTGCTACAGCTCTGTTCTGAGATAAATGCATCATATTTAATATTTGACAGATTCTCTGCAAATTTCTGAATGGATCTGAGATTTATCTTTTAGGACTTTTACGAGCCACTGAAACATTCCATCTTTGACAGCAAACAAATGTGCATCTAGGCTGCATCCTAACTCAGTGAATTCCAACCTTTTTGCATGAGGACCCCCCTTCCTGTGTCCAAGACAAGCCAGCCCCAACTCCTACCTGCATGCACACAATTAAAAGTGAAGCGTCACAAACTTTATACAGCCATGCAGAGTTCAAAACAAATCAAATCAAATCACTTTTATTGTCACGTCACATGTGCAGGTACACTGGTACAGTACATGCGAGTGAAATTCTTGTGTGCGAGCTTCACAGCAACAGAGTTATGCAAAAATACAGTAATGTAAAAGCAAGTAAAATATAAAAATGGCTAATCTAAGTAATAATATGTATAAGTTGTAATGTATATACATTACTAAATGTTTATGCAAGTATATTATTATTTTTTTTAATATATTGTTCTACGTGTGTGCGTGTGCTTGTGTGTGTGTATAGTGTGTATATACGTGTTTTACAAATGAATAAAGTAAACTATGAGATAAGAGATATAAAATATACAGAGGTTGGTATGTGCAAAACAGTGGCATTAATGTACAGTTTGGAGTGTGTAATGTTGGAGTTTCAGTAGTGAGGGTGAGGTGTCTGTGAAGTGTTCAGCAGTCTGATGGCCTGATGGAAAAAGCTGTCTCTCAGTCTGCTGGTTCTGGACCGGATGCTGCAGAACCTCCTTTCTGATGGAAGTAGTCTGAACAGTTTATGGCTGGGGTGACTTGAGTCCTTGATGATCCTCCCCGCTTTCCTCAGGCACCACTTCTTATAGATGTCCTGGAGGGAGGGAAGCTCACCTCCAATAATCCTTTCAGCACACCGCACTACTCTCTGAGAGCTTTGCGGTTGTAAGCGGTGCTGTTGCCATACCAGGCGGAGATGCATCCAGTGAGGATGCTCTCAATGGCACAGCGATAGAAGGTCCTGAGGATGCGGCGGCTTATGCCAAATCTTTTCAGTCTTCTGAGAAAGAAGAGGCGCTGCTGTGCCCTCTTCACTGTATTTTCCGTGTGCACTGACCACGTAAGATCCTCAGCCAGATGAACTCCAAGGAAACGGAAGCTGCTCACCCTCTCCACAGCATCGCCATTGATGGTGATGGGGGTGTGTATGAGTTGTAGCTCTTGCAGGGTTTTGATTTTACTAACAACAACCTCAGCACAGACAAAATTATGGGGACCCGCTGCAAACTTGTGGGGATCCCCTTGGGGAGTCATGGACCCCCGGTTGGAAACCACTGTCCTAAATGTTCCTTGTCATATCAGTGCTAACTCAGTTTCAGTTATTTCCTAACTTATTTTATTCAAACCTTGCAGGAGCTGTCTGGCCTCCAGGGATCCATACTGTGGTTGGACCAAAGGCAGCACCTGTTCCTTCCTGAGACCAGGCACACGGTGAGCAGCAAAAACACACACAAAAAACACAGAGCTGTTTTTTTAGATGCTCTGCCCCCGAGGTCACTACAAACTGTGCAGACGAATTTCAACTTGAATGTTGTTGCTGTGAGGCTGAAAATGCACAAAATAGCAGGAAATTACCCAATTTTGGCATTTAACGCGTCCTTCATCTACATCTACATCATATGGGATTACTTGGAAATGCTCTTGTTTTTCATGGAAAACACACATGTGTAATCCAGAGGAAGAGCTGGATAAGAAGCCAAAAGGATGAAAGTTTTTGTAAACTTTGCTTCCATAAAAATTAAAGCTGCTCCCAGAACAGCTCAGCAGGATTCAGATGAAGAGGCTGTGGTGGCCGCTCCACTACAGCCATTAAATATCGCTGACACATTTTGGTCTTGTGTTTTCAGTCTGGATGAAATCGAGCCTAATCAAGTATTATCCACAGGGAATGGCATGGCCTTCCCTCCTCCAGATCCCTTCCACACTGTGAAAATCTATTTCATTACTCTATAAAATGATTCACTGGGATTAGCAGCCGTACAGAAGACAGATGAGTCCGGCAAAAGGCCTCTGTGCAAAAAATAAAAGTAAAAAATCATTATCACTTTTGAAAGGTGTGGGGGAAAAATTAATGTTCATGTTAAGATAAACATTTAAGCTGTAAATGAAACGATAAAAATTGACAAGAAGGTTTTGTTATCGGTTTTGAAGTTTCTGATGTTTCCAGAGATAAAGATTTTAACACAGTTTGTAGTTTGATCTTTCATTCTGAGTTTGACATGCAGTTTGAATAAAAGATTTGTCTTCTACGTCTATTTCCTGTGTTAGCCGCCGATAGAAAATAGACAATGAAACTCTAGAAATACAAAAGCAGTCAGATCTGCATCACACTGAAAATTATCATTCATGGATTCACCCATCTTGGCTCAAGACTCGAGGCTCGAGACGGGGAAGGCTGTTGTTGGTTTTGTGTCCAGGAAACAGCAGAGAATGTCTGCTAGTAGAAGCTAACCGTTAGCGTTAGCAAAACACAGCAGAACTCCTTCAGACTTTTGTTATTTGTGCAGATAAAACCTTCTCAGTGGCCAAGTGGTAGAGTGTCTGCCCTGGGACTGGGAGATCGGGTCGGGTCACACCAAAGACTTAAACAGGGACCCAATGCCTCCCTCCTTGGCACTCAGATTTACAGGGTTGGATTGGGGGGTTAAACCACGGAGTAGTTCCCGAGCACAGCCACTGCTGCAGCTCACCACTTCCCCTGGGGATGAGTCTACTGAGGAGATGTAATTTTACCAGTGTGTGATGTGTGTGTCAACATTGCTAAGCAAACTGAGTGAGTGGTGGGGCTGCGTTTCTGTTATCCAATCAGAGGTACGATGTCCAGATATCAAGACTCCAAATCCTGTCATCTTCTGCTCTCCTCTCCTGGGACTAACTTCTGCTTCCAGAAACAGGAGCCTGAGAGCTTTTTTTTCCACCGAGATCAACTCACAAGGCATTCGTTCATTCTAGAGACTTCTGCAGATTAATTATTATAACGTTTGGCACTAGCATAGTTATTATGGCTTTACAAAATACTGGGATTTGCTATAAACACTAAACCTAAATGGTAAAATTACTAATTCAACTCTCATCTCTAACTGACTGGTCGACCTTCACCTTTGCCCTGTGAGAAGATCAATAATGAGATCAGTAGCGTATCCAATTACAACTGGTGATTCGCCATCTTGTGCTGTACTGGTTTTAGAGATAACATTACCACTGTGTAATGAGAATCCCTTTCCATTTTAAATAGACCAACAGTAGGCTGCATGGTGCTGAACCCCAAGTGGTTTTAGTGGTCCAATGTTACAATACTAGCTTACTGCCTGTGTAAATACATGTACTTTGGTCATTATTTCCTTTTAAATTATTCTCTGAAGTGTTTGTGCTGCTGTGACGAGCGAGTTTCCCCACTGTGGGATCAATAAAAATTATTCTATTCTATTTTTTAAATTCACATTTCTGTAGGGTTTGGTAGTGAACACCCGTGCACACACTTGTTGAAGCTTGAAGTATAGCCAATAAATGTTGCTCATTTCTGTGTTTTATTTGTTTCTTTTCTTCAGTATTCCTTTCCAGCAGGACGTGGAATATGGAAACACCAGCTCCCATCTGGGAGACTGTGATGGTAAGTTGCTGCATTGACATCTCCTCACAGAAGACTTAAAGAAAGCTCCACCTAGTGGGCGAAAGCCTAATTACAACTGAACCTTTTGTTCTGACCCTGCAAACCGAGAGTATTTTTCATTTTTATTCTGCGTGAAAAAACATTCCTCGCCAGAACAGAGCGATCCAATCAGTTTAGTAGCTCGTTGTCTTTGTCAAACGGATTCAGGAAGATGAAGAAGAACCAGCTTTTTTAGTCAAATCACTCCCCAGCGTGAGACGGTTTAATGATGTAAAAAGGGTTCTGATGATGCCACGAGATTGGATGTGAAATGTCCAATCTCAAAACTGAGCTGAGAAAGAAAGCTGGGAAGCGTGTTCATCAGGTGGGCTGAAGCAGAGACATGGAAAACATGCAGGGCAGGGGGGCGTTTGGTAAAAGCTGGGTTTAGTATTCATTTGGGTAGGAATGGGTGATATGGCCGTATCACAATACATTCTTTTCTTCTAGGTCACATGGTCACAGGACCTCTTTGTGAAGCTTAGTCCAGGTGCAGAGTCATAAAATTCTTCAGTTTTACCACATTTTTATAGCAAAAACATTAAAAAAATCCATATTCCGGCCACTAATCTCACACATTCGTCTTAAACTGATATATAAGAACTTCTTGCTTTTATCTCAGCTCCTTGAAACTGACACTGTTAGAAGTAAGTGATGCCAGACTGCAGAGCTGACACACTCTTATCCGAAGGATGAAAGCGCAGGAGCGGCCGAGCCAGAGACGGACTCAAGCTGCTGTGTCTGCAGATGGGAGTGATTAGAGCTGGTTGGAAACACTGAGGTAATGGTACACTGTGAGGAAAAGACTCTCGGGCCAGGCTGGAAAGTGTGAGGAGAGAATAAAAAAAATTGTCTGCTGTTGCTGTCTGAGCCATGCTGATGACAAGTGCAGGCCTGGCTTAACCTGGAGCTTGTGAGACCTCAGGGCCAAACTGGAGAAAAGCTCCTCCATAGTATGAATTTCACATTCAGTAGCTTATATTACACAGAGGATCATCAGAATGATGTATCAGATCTAAAGTCTGAGGGGTGATTAGGTAAGAATAATGATGATGCTTTTAGAAAGCATTGGGTGGCTTATGAACTGTCTCTCAATCTTTCAGGAATCCTTCAGCAGAGTTTGCTGATTGAACCAGAGAGCTTGGTGTCCCTCAACCTCCTTGTGGCATCAGCGGTTTCCGCCTTCACCATCGGGGCAGCCCTGTCTGGACTCGCCGTGTGCTGGATCATGGCCCACAAGCCTAGCAACCGTCGCCATGGCAGCGCCTCCCAGTCCTCCATCCAGCGGCGCGAAAGAGGTCTGCTGAGTAACGCCGGCGGGATGGCGGGATCTGTGCTGAGCGTGACACGACAAGGAGGAGGAGAGCACTCCTGCTCGCAGGGTGGGGAGACCCTGTTCGTCATGCCTAACGGCTGGGTGAAGTCCGGAGAGCTCGACCCTGGGTTCCTGCCCACCCCAGAGCACACACCCCAGCAGAAGCGTAGAGGCCTTCGACTATCTGACTCCAACTCTGGAGGTTGGGACACCAGCCAAACGTACCTGGGGGGAGGTTCTGTGGGCCTGGGTTCGCCCTGCCGCATGCCCCCCTCTGTCTACCTGACCACCAGACTCTTCCAGCAGGGTGGAGGCGGGAGACACAACGGTGATGGCCGTGGGAACGACACTCTACGCCAGCATTATGTCTGTCTGAGCAAACAGGAAAAAGCAGTGAAGGGTACACCCAAAGCCCCGCTCAGGAAGTCTGCAGGAGAGTACGTCTACCCCATGACCCCCCAGGACTCGCCTGAACGTCGGAGGGTGGTCTCAGCACCCAGCGCCCCCATGGAGTACAGCGAACCGCTGCCTTTGCGTTGGCCAGCCCCAGAAGGGTACATCCTCAGCAGCCACGGGATGGTCCCTGTTCCCCTGCCCCCTCCTGTCATGCCTCCCCCTAGTGGTCAGGGTTATGTGTCCCAGCAGCACACACCAGGTCTGAGCCGGGCTCTGCTGAGAAGCGCCCTGGAGCGGGGGGAGCTGGGCGAGCTGGTGGATCTCAGTCATCTAATGAGTAAGAAAAACTGTGGCGATAGAACTCAGACCGGCCAATGACTGAGGAGGAAATGAAGGAGACGGGATTCTGTCCACGTGTGGAGCTCTTATTACCTTAGATCTCTCTTCCTCCTCATCCTGTCAATCCCTCTCTCCTTCCCATTCTCCCCATCCTACATATAGATCTCACTGTCACCTAGCTCCCTCTCTTCGCTGTCAGCCTCTCAGGCAACCCTCTTCGTCCCGTAATGAGTCTTTCCGTATGACTGGCTGCTGGCTTTGCCACTCATATCCAGGCTCACACTAATTGGTCAGATGGACTGAGGTTGTTGCTGTGTCTGCAATGCAGAGTTGCCTCTCTCTCCGGCAGCAGAACGAGGGAGAAGAAGGGATGAGGAGGAAAGATAGACAGAAAGAAAACCCAAATGGGGAGCAGAGCAGATGAGGACAGAGACTTAGAGACTTCTTCCTCTCTGCAAATTGACTGAGGCTGCAGAGCCAGGAGTGGGACGCCGAGTCCCTCCTTTGTAACATTAACAGGACTGCCAGCCAGCTGTTCCCATCTCTATTTCCTGTTGGTCTGATTGCCAACAAGGTACTTGAAGGAAAATTGCAAATTCTGAACATCATAAAAGTCTAGAGCTCGAGGTGACTCATCGGGCGAACATTTGAGTCATTCGTGACCAAACAGATGAATCAAAGCTAAATAACTGCTCTGGTTTTTTGCATTATTTCTCCTTCCTGCAAACATCTGCTTACTTGTACAGGTGGGTCTTCGGTATCCTATAGAAAAAGCATGACTTGTGTGCCAAATGCCTCTAAGTTGTCTCGTAGGGATATGGGGCCATAACTCATGTCCGTGGAGAGCAGAGAACAGGACTGACATGTCAGCAGTATTCCTGCCAACCGTACGCTCTCTGGAATGACGGCGTCTCAGCTGTTTGTCCCCCCTGCCCCCCATTCTCTTTAACGACCAATAATTCCTCAAGGGCGTCAGGTGGGACTGGACCGATGTGAAAATCCCAACCGGAAAATATATAGAATAACTGCACGGCAATGCGTTTGTCTCTGTAGTTTTGCTCAAACCAAGTTAAAGACGTGTTTCTTGGGTTAGATTTGTTCATAAACCCACTTTGGGTCAAGACCCAATGAATGTGTTTGGTGTTAAGTGACAGTTCTGATTGAAGCCTCAGAGCCAATAGGGCTAATGGAAATGATCCCAGCAGACAAATGGACCCATAAATTCAACCTATCAAAGTGTCCCGTGCCATAAAGTGTGTTTGGATCGACCCAACATGAGGTTGCATGGCAGCACAGACTGAAGCAATTAAAACGTTTATTTGGCTTGATTTGTCCATTTGTTCATCGACCAATGAATGCTGTCCCGTGCTGACTCCCCATTGTGTACAGCAGCATCGAGTTTTAAATGTAAATAGAAAACTGCTCATGTAAGAATTATATATAAATATATAGAGGCAGGTGTTAGCTTGCAAGTGAACATTTATCTTTCAGTTCATAAATGTTTTTTGTTTTGTTATGTTTTTATTCAGTCGGCACCGACGTGGATTTCACCAAGTCACAAGGGTGTCTTTCTCACATCGACGTGCCAAACCAAACCGATGGAAGACTTTGTGATGCCTGATTACTGAAGCAAAAAATATATATAAAAACAAACTGAAAGTAATGCATCTTAAAGTGCCATAATGGAACCATATCTATCAGCAGTGCACCTTTCCCATGTACTGTGGTTTTAAAGAACTCTTATTGCAGTATATCTGTGATCTGTATGCCTTTGACCTTACATGCTGAATATCTGTTTTATTTTGTTTTTTTTTTTCATTGATGTTGACTCGTACTGTTGGGATAACTTGTCCGGTTTGTCCATCTGGAAGCTTCTGAGGGTCCGTCCACCTCATGCCGTACCCTGTAAATATGTAATACGGACATTTTATCACACGCCGTGTTGATGTGTTCTCCTACGCCATGACAGGAACTGTGTTTGCTCACATTTTATATCAAGTTCTTACCTAAACCACTGTGTGAGTTGCTGGTTTCCCTGATTTTGGAGGTTTCGTCCTGGTTTACACTCTAGTGATTGTCGTGTCTTTCATTCCCGACCAAACTGCCATACTGAGGGTTCTTGGAAAATATTCTTCGGCAGCCTAAGGCGAACGAATGTGCCTCATTCTTTTTGTTCAGTGGTCATCATGCTGTGCAGTAATAACGAAAAGCACAAAATGTTTCTGTATCTTGTTTTCAAAGGAGCTGTATCATTTGTGAATAGTGTAAATAATCACATTGAATGTATCATGTATCACTTTAGGGGTTTTGTTGTTTTGAGGACAGGGGACGGCCTGTCTTTTCCCCTCTAAGACAGGGCCGTGTTTAAAGTGTGAGGCTCTTGTTTTTATTTTTCGGTGACAATGCTGTGAATAAAATGTATGTATAGTACCTACGTGACTTTGGCTGAACACAGAGTTCAGCAGGTTCCTTCCTGTTCTTAGAGTTGGGTTCGCAGACCTGACCTCAGTCGGAGCTGAGCCTTTCTCTCATTTGACTGATGCCTGTAACGTTTCTGCAGCTGCTAAGCTGCTGCTGATGTAATTATCAGTATTGCTATTAAACGGCACTATATAACTGACTGCTAAAGGTGTCGGGCGTGCTGCATCCACTCGCTGAAATAAACACACAAAATCTCTCAAATGCATTTTGCAGGACATTGGTTCGTTTTTGTTGAATGACAATGTGTGCACAAGTTTTCAGCAGGTGAAGAATGTTCTAATAAAAAAATCATTATCGATAAAATGCAAAGTGATTGAAAATGTTGCCCTGCACAGTGCAGGCTGCACCTGCAACATTTGCCACAATCTCCTGTATGATATATCTGCTCTCAGTTATGCAATCAGATATTTCTGATTTTTACTCATCAAACCGAAGCAGCTATTTAAGTTTTTTTTTAATCATATTTTTGTGTCAAGTATTTGGCTTTTTGAATGCAACTCCTCCATGAAACAAGCCTGCTGCAACAGATGGGTGGGCTTGATGAAGCAGACCAGTGTCTGACATTTTTGAGCTCAAGGACATCTTCTGATTTATGAACAAAGTAAGTATTATTTACATTCTATTTGTCATATTTGGTTTCCTGTGGCAGTCTGAATCTGCCTGCCCTGAAGTCTTTGTCTGGGAGAGACCATGCTGATGTCATCAGTCTACCTCATGTTTTGCTGCTGTGATCAGTTTTGTTGTGGTGTCTGACCTTCTGAAAGAAATCTCTTGGTAGTTGAGTTTAACTTCTTCTAGTTTTGAGTCTCCTACAGAGTCGATTCTGTTTGTATCTGAAAATGACGACTGTTGGATCCCCTTTGGAACAACTGGCTAGTGAAAAACCTACTAAAACCATATTTTTGTGTAAAAGAAAGAAGGAAAAATGAGTGCTCACACAAATGACAGCATTTATTTAGACTTTTCTTCTTTAATATCATTTTGCAATTAAAGAAAAAATACAAAGAGCTTAAAATATTTTCACAGTTCCCATTAGGCAGGCTTAAGCAGACACCTGTTCCTTATCAGCACGTTTAAGCAGACACCTGTTCCTTATCAGCACGTTTACTCACCACTGGAGGTACCCGGATGTTGCTTCCATGTGAGGGCTAAGAACCACACTGACAACAAGCTGTGGTCTATAAATGAGAACAACTCTCGAATGGTATTTTAAACTTGTTCTGTGAAAATGCCGCGTTTGTTGTTAGACAGATCGATAAGGGAGGTTTTAAAGCATCAAAACACACAACAGGATTTTCTCAGCGAAATGGAGGAATACAAAAACAAAGTGATGATTTAAGAAACAGCAACAAATGCATAAAAAGTCATCTAACAGCATGACTTTTTAGTTAGGAATTAGCTTGTAGGGGATAAAATCCAATTACTTGTGAAACTGTTTTGTACATTCAGCTGAAGAAATAAGCAGGAATCGTGATTTCAGTGTTTTAACAACATCAGCAATCATGAAAGAAATACCTGAAAATGATCTGATAAAAGAGTTAAAATGCAGAAAAAGCTGCCAGAGTCCAAAAAAAAGAGTAAAATAAACCTTCAGACTGCTTGTCAGCAGATTTTTTTGTGAATGCATCTCAGTTCTTCATGCTGAGTCATGAGTTCTTGCTGCTCTCATCTTGTGACCAAGGGAAGAATAATAAAAAGGCGAATAATTTTCAATAATTTCACAAATAATTCTCTAACTTGGTCTAAAGTTTACTGAACCTCAGACATGAGCAAAGGTGCGTCAAGCTTTTCTCAAATAAATTAATATTGGAGAAAGTTATTATTTAAAAAATCGTATTAAAAACCTAAAATAGTCAAAGAAGTAGCATTTCTGTCCAAAACGATGTGTAACCAGAATAAAGAGCTTGGTTTATTGATAGCTGAAAAATAAAAATTATGTAAATAAATGTTTCGATTTGTCTATAAAATTATATTTGATGAATAATTTAAACACATAACATCTAATAACATTTTTCAGACATCTTGATTTTTATTATTAATTTTTTTAGGCCTTTATAAATTTCTGTCTCCTCATAACTTTTGGAAACCTTTAAAAAAACAGCCGGATGGAAGGAAGGTTACACTGAAACAGATTTCCTCCTCAGCCAGCTGGGAGGTTGTCAGATTTTCTCTGTTAGATAAAACTAAAGAGGTCTTTGTTTATAATCTGTGAAGTTGCCAAGTCTGCCCGAGCTAATGCTGCAGGATTGGCATTTGTAATTTGACACCAGCCAACAAAATGCTGCGGCGTTTTGTAAAGATCCTAAGCCAGTAAACAGAAGTGGCCAGAAGTTATATCTTGCACCCCTAAGAAACCACGGCATCTTTTTGTTTTACTATAATATCGGGTGAAAAAGGCTAATGGCTAAAGTTGAGCTCACAATGCTAACGATGATTTAGTAAAAAATAGTTGCCTCCATCAGTGCGCCTCAGGGTAGCTGTGGCTACATTGTAGCTCATCATCACCAGCGTGTGTGTGTGTGTGTGTGTGTGTGTGTGTGTGTGTGTGTGTGTGTGTGTGTGTGTGTGTGTGTGTGTGTGTGTGTGTGTGAATGATTGATTGTGTTGTGAAGCGCCTTGCAGGGGTGCTATAAAAATACAGGCCAGTATTCTTCACCAGTAAATAGTCAGCTAACATATCTCAAGCTACTTTTTCAATGACCAACAACTCAATATTACAGTGAAATATCTTACTGCGTATGACTCATCTTTGCTCATCATCTAGAATCTTCTGGCGCTGATCGGGCAGCAGCCATGAAACTCACGGTAGAGAGCAAGGGCGCCCCCAAGGGGTGGCCACCCCTAGAAAATTATTAATGTTTACTCAAACCATAAATCGATTTTATTTATTCAATACATAATTCTAAAACAAAATAAAATAAAATAAAATTAATGAGTAAAGAAATAATCAGAATAAAAAAATGCATATGTTTTTGCTGCTCACCATTTTAAAAAAGTTTTTATCTCCTTAGTTTTTTTCTGAACAAAGCAACAGGTGAATGAACCTGAAAAAAATAATGTTTTTATTAAATTTGGAATAACATTTTAAATAACTAAAATATATTTTTCTGAAATGTTTGTTTGTAAAATGTAAGTTAAATTTTTTGGATACAAGTTGTTTTTTAATTCAAAATGAACAAAGTAGCAATGCAATACATCGCCACAGGCTAAACTCTCCCAGAGTTACCATGAGGACCAATTTGGTGTGCCACCCCCAAAATGTCTTTGGCTCCATCTGGCCACCCCTAACAAAATTTCCTGGAGGCGCCCCTGGTAGTGAGAAAGTCACTGGTGTGTTTAGAAAAAGGGCTGCAGTAACCAAATTTGACCAGAAGATGCCATTCTTACTTCATTCTTATGTAGCGCAAATTTAGGGCATCAACTTGAGCATCGCCTGTGCTCTCAACGATTTATGTGTAAAACTTTTTCAATAAAAAATAATAGCTGATGGAATCAAAGCAGCAGTTGGTGGAAGCGATCCACTCAGAGACTCGTAGATACATGTGAACCGGTGCGTTCCACCGCTGCGGGTCCAAAGGAAATTTATGGAAGTAGTTAACAACAAAGGCGACGTGGAGGGGAGTGTAACAGACCAGGAACACTATCATGTTAGCCGTTACTATGCCAATGATGCTTCTCTGTTCCTCTGACCTCTTGCGTCTCTTCAACATAACATAGATGATCTGACTGGAGCAGAACACAACAATCAGCAGAGGAATGAAGAAACCACAAAGCACCAGAAGAAGAACAAACTTAAGACTGAGCGAGAAACATTTGCGCCTTTCATAACACGTCCAGAGTTTTTCAGGGCTGTTTTCCTCACGAAATACGACAGCCAGAGTCACCAGCAGAATCCAGAAGATCTGGCACACAGCAACAGCTGTCTCCTTCCTCCTCCTCCAGGATCGGACGTGCAGAGGGAACTTTATAACCACGTAGCGGTGGACACTGATGGCTGTGGTGGTCATGATGCTGGCATACATGTTGATAAAATGAAGGTTCATGAGGAACGTGCACAGGGAGTTTACCGGCAAGCAGAAGAAGGTGTCATAGATCCTGAAGGGAAGGGAAAGGATGAGGATGAAGTCAGCTATGGCCAGGTTCAGCATGTAGATGTGTGTGTTTGTCCACAACTTCCATTTGGATATGAAGGCACGCAGAGCCGCCACGTTGACCAGAAAACCCACCAGGAAGACTGGGCTGTAGGCCACCAACTCAAAGGTGCCGACTGTGCAGTTAGGTGAGAAGCTGATGTTGGTGCACATAATGATTCTGTGAAAGGTTGAAAACAATAAGGAAGACAGTCTGAGAACAAGTTAATAATAGTTTTATTCCAATCTAATAGTCTCAGATGTCTCTAACTTAAGCAGTAGTTTTAGACAAGTCATATATATATATGGTTTATATATATATATATATATATATATATATATATATATATATATATATATATATATATATATATATGTATATATAAACAGGTGCTTTACCATTTTATTCATCAACAATGTAATAATTACTGTGGTGATTCATTTTGACTTCTCAGTTGCAGCAGAATGCAATGTCGCACTAGCGCTGGTAAAGCTGCTAATTTCTCAGCTTACTGATGACTAGAGTTGAGAAGATGTGGCCACACGGTGTTCTTCTTGATTGATAATTGTTCAAGATTTAACTGGTCCAGTTTCCTCATTAACATGAGTGTGTTTACCATTACGGATAAAGAATCGCCCTATTTGGCATTGTTACCCCTCGTCTATAGCAACACCAGATTGCCAATGCACACCCCTTATCGTGACCAAATGTGTTGGCATGCAGACCCAGATCATCAAACATGAATGTAACTATATATTTTTATTTTTACATGCTCAGCAATAAAATAATCACAATATTTTAATGGAAAGGAAAAATATACAAATGTATTTAGAGAGGATATACTATATATATATATATATATATATATATATATATATATATATATATATATATATATATATATGTATATATATATATATATATATATATACATACATATATATATATATATATATATATGTATGTATGTATATATATATATATATATATATATACACACACACACACACACACACAACTGCAGGAAGAGGTTTTATGCTTATATGTAGCTGCAGAGAGAGGCTACACTCTTGATAAAGGAAATGCATTCTTACTGTAACTTTGGAGGGTTCCTATCTTTTGTGAGTTAAACTCACTTTTTTCTGTGACATTTAAAACAACTTTATCTTTAGCACCAACTCCCAGCTGATCAGAACCAGCCACTAAAAGGTCAAAACTTACCGAACGATCAGCTCTTCTGTCCTTCTTTGACTCTGTTCCACTGGCCCTTCATCTGAAAGCGTGTAAACTTATTGCTTAGAAGCAGAATCATTTCCTCTTTCTTCTGAGCACATGGTTGTGGTTTGTGCTTGAGTGGAACAACTTTTGCAAAGACAATTCAGTTCAGTTCAATTCAAGTTCATTTATATAGCACCAAATCACAACAAGAGTCGTCTCAGGAGACACGAGACTCTAAACTTCTGCTCATCTCCGAGATCTTGGAAAAGGTTGTGGCTAAACAACTCACAGCTGCTCTTGATGAACATAACATCTATGATAGCTTCCTGTCAGGTTTTCGTAGAGCTCATTCTACTGAAACAGCTCTTCTTAGGGTCTCTAATGACCTTCTGACCCACAGTAATGCAGGGGACTGTTCTGTTCTGGTCCTGCTGGACCTGACTGCAGCCTTTGACACTGTTGACCATCACCTGCTACTGGAGAGGCTGAGAGACTGGGTAGGCCTATCAGGATCTGCTTTGGAGTGGTTCTCCTCTTATCTCTCTGAGCGCTCCTTTTCTGTGGCCGTCTCCAAGTTTAGGTCCTCCACCACCTCTCTTACCCATGGTGTCCCACAAGGTTCTGTGCTGGGGCCTCTGCTCTTCCTCCTCTATCTGCTTCCTCTTCAGCACATCCTGAGCTCCTTCAAAGGAATCTCCTACCATCTTTATGCAGATGACATCCAACTGTACATCTCCTTTAAGCCCCATGAGATGTCTAAGCTGCAGCTGTTACACACCTGCTTAGACTCTATCAGAACCTGGATGGCTGGGAGCTTTCTTCAGCTGAATGAGGATAAGACTGAGATCCTCATCTGTGCCCCAGACAAGCTGGTTCCCAAAGTCAGAGACTCTCTTGGTCAGCTTGCTTCTCACACCAAACCTTCTGTCAGGAATCTTGGCATGATCTTTGACCCAGCTCTCATCCTGGATTCTCATGTCAGTTCTCTTGTTCACTCTTCCTTCTTCCATCTCAGGAACATTGCTAAGCTGAGTCCCATTCTGTCTCGCTCTGAACTTCAGACAGTTATCCACACCTTCATCTCCTCACGCTTAGACTACTGTAACTCTCTTTTCACGTGTCTGAGCAGAACCTCCCTGAACCGTCTACAGGTGGATCAGAATGCCTGTGCTCAGGGTTCATTTCAAGATCCTGGTTCTGGTCTATAGGGCCTTAAATGGACGAGCACCATCTTACATTGGTGATCTTCTTAGTCCCTACACCGCCAGCAGGCCCCTGAGGTCCAGTGATAAAAGCCTACTGGTTGTGCAGCACCAGGCTAAAGACCAAAAGTGACAGATAACTTGCTGCTGTGGCCCCCAGACTCTGGAACTCTCTCCCCCTGAGCCTGAGATCAGTGGACTCAGTGGTCTCCTTCAAAAAGCAGCTGAAGACTCACTTGTTCAAGCTGGATTTGTATGACCTTCTTCACCACTCTCTCTTTATTCTGCTCTCCCCACCTATTCCACCTTCCTCAGGATCCACTGATTTCCCTCTTTCCTATTCACTCTCTCTCTTTCTTAACATTTTTTTCTTTTAAATCGCAATTGCCTATTCTTGCTCATTTTAAATATATTTTTAACATTTTCTAAATGCTTTTTTATATTTTTAAAAAAAAATTTATATTTTTTGTTTTTGTGACGTGCCTCGTGATTTTTATCTTGAGAGGCGCTATAGAAATGTTATATTTTCTTCTTCTTCTTCTTCTTCTTCTTCTTCTTCTTCTTCTTCTTCTTCTTCTTCTTCTTCTTCTTCTTCTTCTTCTTCTTCTTCTTCTTCAAGGCACTTCACATGGTAAGCATTCCAATTCAGGTCAGTTCATTAAGCCAATCAGAAAAATGTTTCCTATATAAGGAACCCAGCAAATTGCATCCAATCACTGACTAGTGTCAGTGACTTTACAGCAATCCTCAAAATAAGCAAGCATGCAGCGACAGTGGAAAGCAAAACTCCATTTTAACAGGAAAAAATCTCCAGAGGATCCTGGCTCAGTATAAGCAGCCATCTGCTACGACTCACTGGGGATCGAGAAGACAGAGCACACACACACACACACACACACACACACACACACACACACACACACACACACACACACACACACACACACACACACACACACACACACACACACACACACACACACACATAACGATGCGGTTGGAGAGGTGTGAGTGTGGGTGTAAAAGTGATTTAAAGGGTAAAAGTTCATTTATTACACCTGCTAGATAGACATAAATTGGTTAAAACTTCATTTATTCTAACTTTTTATTTTATGATTGGCAAAATGAATTAAAAAACATGATTAACACATGATTGCATCTGTTTCCCAGCTCACCCTCAGAAGTTTTGTTAAAAATGTGCAAATTGACACAGCAACATATAAAAATAAACTAAAATAGTATTTTATCTTTACTTTGCTGACATTTAATGAGCATCTATAGCATTCACACTGATAAAGTCAGCAACTATTAAGACCACCCTCCCCCCAATGAGGCCACAGACCACCAGTTGCAAATGCAGTTTGTACCAGTTGCATTTCCTGTTTTACATCTCAGGTTAGCAGCACAAATCATTCTCCGGAAACAGGAAGTGACCTCCAAATGAATCAGGCTAAAGAAGGGCGAGCATCTGCCTCAGAGTCAGAGAATAAATACGTAGTCTGTTTTGCTGCCCTCAAGAATGAGGAAACCCACAATAGGATAACAGCACCGCATCGAGAAGTGTGAGAAACGAGAAGAAGTGCATGACAGACTGTCCCACATGCAGCTGTGCAAAAACAAAAAAGCAAAGTTCATCTTAAAGGAAAACGAAAAACTGGGAAATTTCAAAACAAACGTTCTACTCAGAAAAGTTAATGAGTTTTTTCTAAAGTTTGCGAGATTTGTGATGCTGATACTTGATCAAATTCAGAGAAGAAAGAACAAATAAAACATTTACAGGCTTTGCAAACTAACATTTAAGTGAGATCATATATTAAGGAATCCCAGCTGTTGATGACTGACAGATTGCTGTTGAAAACATACTAGCTGTGTTTCTGAGGGTTTTAACCCTTTAAAGCCTGATAGTTATAATCTAATCTCAAGACAATTATATAATAAATTCAAACGGTAACTTCATATAAATTGCTCTGATGTCCCAAGGAACTTAGATTTTCCACTAAGAAGTTTAGGATTATGTGTATCAGATACATTTGCCTTTAATATCTTTGTTTTTGTGGAGCTTTCAGCTCTAAATGCTCATTTGCATCAGCCCTCAGCCATCCGTTTGTCATCACATCACAACACAAGCGAACCTTTGAGGGTTTGAATAAAAATGTTGAAAAGAGGCAGAATGTCAGAAAAAGTAAAGAATTCTGGGAAAGCGTTTTGGATAAACCAAATGGAACTGATGAGTATAAATGACCCGGTAACAGATGACAGAGCTGGTTTGGAGAATAAAGTTGGCTTTTTATTAATTACATCTATATAGGATTTAGGATTGTCTGGAAAATGTTACTGTGCTCTGCTTGTGGAGGGAAAAATAACTGCACAACTATACCCAGGCACAAAGCCTCCATCCTGAAGAAAATACTGTTTAAATCTAGGTTAAAAGTGTAAAACGTGCCTCAATCTGCAGATATAAGTATAGGTTACATGTTCAGTTTTCTGCACTTTCTCTTGCAATAAAGTCATAAAAGCACAAGAGATGCTTGATTAGATCTGGTTTATTAGACTGTGTTTGGCGGTTATTGCATTAAGATTTTATTAAAAGCCTTAAAGACATTGCTCTGTGGAAATAAAAGTGAAAATCTAATACTGAACAGGATATGAAGGAGCTCTGTGTTTAAGATGCAGGCTGCTGTTATCATCCATTTTATTTTAAATCTGTTCATCCGATTTTCATGATGCATCCTAGTGAAGACTCGTTTGAAACTGGCTTCTCTGTTAACCCTACGACCTCTGACTCTGCTTTCAATTTCATCTGAAAGTGCCCTTCACACGTCACTGGGGAGGAAGAGGAGGAGGGGAAGGTGGAGGGGGGTTTCCATTGCTCTAACTAGGTCATGGAGGACACACCCCTCCCTCCCCAGCTCCCCCTGGCTGCACCTCTGCTACCAAACCCGCCTCCTTTTCCCCTCTGTGACGCAATGCAGACTTTTATTTCCTGCACACCTCCTAAATCTGACAGTCATCACCGTCCTCCAGCTGAGTGACGGAGGCAACATCTGGCTGCTGCAGCCCAATCAGAGAACCAAAAACAACAGCTGGCACTTGTATGGGTGCCCCTTGACTCGGATGACTCAGCAGCACCGTTTGGGCTTGCTGTTCCACCCTTAATGTGGTCCAGCTTTTTGTTGTGATTGTATAACGTCCTTGCATCTGTGACATTTGGAGGGGTAGCGTGTGTGTGTGTGTGTGTGTGTGTGTGTGTGTGTGTGTGTGTGTGTGTGTGTGTGTGTGTGTGTGTGTGTGTGTGTGTGTGTGTGTGTGTGTGTGTGTGTGTGTGTGTGTGTGTGTGTGCGTGTGCGTGTGTGTGTGCGTGTGTGTCAGGAGAGAGCACAATTGCTGCTTTCATGTGTAATTTAAACACCTCGTAACTCCTTTAATTTGTGATTCGGCATGTGTCCCGGCTGCTTTACGACCATATTGAGTGGAAACCATTTAAAAAAGAGGGAAAAAAGCACAGAGAGCAAATTCCAAGCATTACATAAGCCGAGTGTGTTATAGCACAGATTCAACACTGGATGTCTCTGTTTCTGCTGCCTGCTGCCAAGATGAGTCATCAAGCTGGTTACATATGAGCCAAATCTCACGCATCCCTGATTCTCAAATGCATAGTTAATCTCAGCAAACAACAACCTGAGGTGAGGAGAAGGTGGTTGAAATGGTTTCAAGGCAGGATACCGAGAATTTACTCTAAAGAGTCAAAGTGATTTTCCCCCCTCACACTTTGAGTTGAGAGTCTGTCTGAGGCAACAAAAAAAAGATGTGTGAAAAGTAAACAGGATTGGGTGGATGAATGAAAGTGGCAGGGTGGGCAGGGTGGAAAGGCCCGGAGATAAGGAGAAATGTTGATAAACACCAGATTTAGGTCATCAGGTCAAAGATGGA